TCAACATGGCGTATAAGTAATATGTCCAATATTTAATAGTATTTAGTATTTTTTAAGATTGATATTTTATTTTTTAAACCATCCTAGTGCCACACGACTGTCTTATAATTAAACAAATTTACAATTTTAATTATATCATATTCCTTGTTTAATAAAATTTACATAAATTAACGATCGATTTGTATTTTTAAATGCTATATATATTATATATATATATTAAACTTTACCTGTGTTCTTTAAATTTTTACTATGAAAAATTTTGGTTTAAGAGTTTAAGGAGTTAATCTCAGACGTCGTTTAATATATAAAATGAAAACATACATTTTAAAAATGGATTAAAATTGACCGTGCAGTTATATCTTATTTGGTAAAAATCCCGCTTGGATCAAACTTTTTCTTTTTTATATTATATTTGATTAGATTCAGTCGAAATAAGGTTTTCACTGAACAATATTTTTGTGGCCCAATGTGCACCTGCTCACTCTCTGCGCACGAGGCGTATGCGTAATGCGATTATGGGCACGGGCTTGGTTCTGGTTGTGCGATTTTGGTGGTAGTGTTGGTACTAGGGGTAGTACTGCTTCTGGTACTGGGCCAAAGGTACGAGACTTCGCGTGGGTGGGCCAAACAGTTGGATTGTTTTTTTGGGTGGGCCAAGCGCTTATCGGCGGCGGAAAAAGCTGGGCCATCCGAATTTTGTCTGACTTCTGGGAATATATAAATACTTTCGTCCTTATCAATTATTTGACATTAATTATTTTATTGAAATTGTTTATGGTTTCCACTTCGGCTCACGATCAACAATTATAATATAACAATATATATATTAACGCAAGTGGGGTCCTTTGTCGAGGGGTTTTCCTATCTGGTTGTGAAAAAAATTACGGGGAACCCGGATCTGATTGCATAGAATTTTGGAGAAGTTTATGATCCATCTGCGAACGAAGATTACGATTTTATTTTAATAATGCGGTAATTCTTCTTGATTGAGGATGCTTAGAAACTTTTCTAAGAAATTGCGTTAATTAAAAATAATAGTTACCTGGGTAATTTCAAATAAATCTTGTTTAAAAAGTAACAACAAATTTTATAAAAAAATCTAAAATATTGAAATCGTTCTTAAAAATAATAGTATAATATCTAAAAAGTTACTAGCATGAATTTAACACTTTTAAACATCTGTTAGCCCTTAACCAATAATACCTTACCTCAATTTAAAATAAATCACACATTGTAGGCTTGAAAACAGTTGCCTAAATTATAAGATAATATGTTGGATATATCTAATTATCGATCGTTAATAACCTCACAAAAAATAGGGTGGTTCAAAAACTTCTCAACTGCCACAGGGTCTCCAACGTCTAAAGATCGAATCGATTGATCACACGGGCACTGAAACTTGAATTTGTTTTATGGCTCACCGTCGCCTGTCGCCCCTTAACCCAATTTCCCCACTTCTCCGCCGACTTGCAATCACCAATCACCAGTTGGCCATACATAGCTATAGGCTCGTTCGCTCGGGACTTGTGCGAAAGTTATCGAACAGCCCACTTCATCCATGCAATAATCAATATATTTACTCTCGTCAATCTTTTGTTTTTATTGCGCGCCTGGCTTTCTGTACTTAGAAGCGTCTAATCAAAACATCGGACCGCCCCTTCTACACCCCCCGCGGTCAATATTGGCTGCACTACAAAAAATGCGATCACAACTATTGTATAACAACAAAACAAAGTGGCAGAATGTGTATGTAGTGTAAATAAATATGTAATATAATCGATTTAATCAGAAAATTGCATCCTAAGAAAAAGTGCACTCTGAATCTAAAGAATTCACGAGCGGAAGATCAGAAGATCACGTTAGATCCTGTTAGGAATTTGCGGTTAGTCGATAAAGTTATCTATACATATATAAAATTGCATGGTTAATATGGATCTCAAGAATTCACAAGCTTAAGATCAGAAGATCCAGTTAGACCCTGTTAGCTTAGGAATTTTCGGTTAGCCGATAAAGTTACCTATGCAAAAAGAGATATGTTCATAATATTACGTTATCTAATGCATTCGCGATGTCAAATCTTACGATTATGAAGGATGAACGATCACAACTATTGCATAACGACAAAACAAAGTGTAAAATGTGAACGTAATATAAATAAATAAGTAATATAATCGATTTAATCAAAAAAATTGCATTCTAAGAAAAAGTTCAATACGAATCTAAAGAATTCACGAGCTTAAGATCAGAAGATCACGTTAGATCCGATTAGCTTAGGAATTTTCGGTTAACCATACATTTTGGGTATCTCAACTATACTTTTTAAATGACAAAATCGGACCCAAATTTTTTTGTCGTGTACCAGTGTTTGGCTCCTAAATCTTCTTCTTCGCCACGGGGGATGGGGCTTTTGGGGCTGGGACCATTTGGCGTGGCAATAATTGTTTATTATCACGTCATTGGACCTATTTGTTGCTATTGCTGCTGCTGTCGCTGTGTCGCGCTGATAAGAGCACACTCAAAATTTACAAAAAAAAATCGAGAGCCCCGGCGATCGCGACTGGCCAGCGATGGCGATCGTTGGCCAGCTATCTATTTATAATTAAACCAAAAATTTACGGCTTGCTCAAACTCCAATCTGTATCAGTTTACAACTGTTGCACGATAACACAACAAAGAAAAAGTTCCCAGAGTAGCTCCTCGAAAATAAACATAAATATTGGTGTAACGTGATTTAATTGTTGCCAAGAATAATGAAATTTCCGCAGTTAATCATTTGAACGATAGCAAATCAGTACACTTTTATTGGGCCAGTTCATGGAACAAGACTCGCTACTGGATTTCTAAAAGAATAATAATAGTCTTAATATTTTAAATTTGTTCCCTTAATTATCATAAGCCAAAGCTTTTGGTAGAAATTTTAATATTTTTGGGAGGTGATTACAGTAGGCTATCAATTATAATTAATAACTATCGCGCTTTTGTTGGTTATCGCAAACAAATGCGCACAAGAAATGAATTTATGGGCGAAAATTTGTTAACAGCCAACTAAAAATTAATTTATTAAGTTTGGTTGATTCAGGTCTTGAACATCACTTTAATGAAAATTTATTTATTGTTCTCTTCACGTTCTTTTTTTGCGAAAAATGGCGAAATAACTAATTTTGAAGTTTTTATGCCAATGGATTGGAAATTAAATAACGAGCTTACCATTTATCTTTCTGACCATTTTCAACATGAGAGCCATAACACTGATTTTTTGACGGCGAATAAGGTGGTAGTCCAAAACAACAGAAAACGCTATAGTCGATAGCCTCGACTATAACATAACTATGCTTTTTCCACTAGCATATCTAGCCTATAGCGCCACCTATCTCCTTCTTCTATAGCGCTACCTAGCACAGCGCCCCTAGCAGCTTGGTAGCGTTATCTTAAAAACATCATGCGGTGTGCAATCTCATTATTTTGCTATAACATTTTAATAACTAGTTTGAATTCAATAATATTTGGCATGTAGATGGGTATTGATAATAAGAACAAAATCTCATTTACATTTTTACAAAATATTAAAAAATGCGGTAGCTAGACGGGTTTTAATGTAATAGTCGTTTGTGGGCGCTAGAGTGGGCGTGGCACCTTGCCGAAACAAACTTGAACTGCGCAATTCTATTCAAGAATATATATACTTTATGGAGCCGGAAAAGCTTCCTTGTACCTGTTACATACTTTCCGTCGAATCTAGCATACCCTTTTACTCTACGAGTAACGGGTATAATGATCTTATTTTTAGCTGTTTTTCAATCGAAGTTTAGCCAGATCAAATCGTACAGCTAAAAGACCGACTGTTCTGGGAAGCTTATAGCCTTTGCTAACGATCCTTATCACTTCCAGGAAATTTATTTTATTTACTTTTTTCTTGCAAAAAAATGGCAAAAGTTAAAAATTTCCAGGTTTTCAATGGATTGAAAATTAACCTACTAGCCTAGCGAGGATTGACATTTTTTACAATAGTTATATACTTGTGGGTTTTTCCCTGTGCAGACCTTAAGGCGTTGTGGAGCGTTTTGCACACGTTGCGAATTTTGAAAGTTCAGCCCGTGTCCGTTCGTTTGTCCGTCCGTCGATTTGTCCGTCTGTCGTCATCTGTTCAAATGTGTGTGGTCCTTATCGCACCGAATTTGAATTTCCATCAAAACAAAGCGAGCAGAGGAGCGTTAATAGTTCTACTATACACCAGATTAAATCGCGACATTTGATTCGGCTATTTTTGCATTGGAGAGCCCAAGAGAGAAACAATTCTTGGCGACAATAAATCCGCACATAATATAGTTATACATATGTATGTATATAGGCAATTTGATTTTGAGGCCCAGGCGACAATCGCCTTTGGAAATCTATCACCACCGTCTATTATCGTTATCTGTCGCGCCGTCTGTTTTGATTCGATTTGAATAGTCGTGGGGCCAATTAAGTCCCCAGATGGCTCCCGTTTTTTTACTTTGGGGAGTCGATTTGGCGTGAACCCGGGCGATAGCCCCCACCTTTCTAATCCCTAAGAAAGCAAAAACATTTTAAGAATCGCTGAGATCAGGCTGCCAGAGGGGTTGTACTTGATTTCTGGTCATCTGTGTACTTGCAAATTTCAATTGAAATCGAATTTAAATCATCAGCCACAAAGTATGCGGCACTGCACTGCACTGTGTGCTATAAGAGTAACCAGGCCTATCTTAAGGAACCAACAGCAATGCTTTGATTAACTTATTAATAACAGTTTCTAATCAAACCCAAAGCTAATTCAATATACTTATTAAAAATACCTTTGTTTTATTTTGGTTATTTATTTGCTTGCTATTTGGATTACGTGTCACATATTTTACAAAGTATACAAAAAAAATATGTATGTATTTGATGTATATCTCGAGGGTTGATATCAGTGTTTAGTTGAACATAAATATTAAAATGTAGTGGTTTATATTTTAATATATAATATGGTTTAGCTTCTTAAAAAAAAAACACGAAACCCATTCACACCTAAATGCCTTTTGTGTAGTTTGATGGTATGCACTGATCGCATGAGCGTTTGATTGAATGAATGATTGATTGTTGCTGTGATTGTTGAACTGTGCTTTTGGTCTCCAGGGTGGCGCACACGATCCATACCAAATGGTATACCACCGTATGGTAGGCTCGTGTTTGCATATATATATGTTTAGAGGGTAGATTCGTTTAGATGACTCCTTACTTCCTTTGTGCAGATTTTGCAGATCTCTACTCGCTTAAAGTTATATATATCGTATATGTGTGTATATGTATATTATTCGCATAGTACATTTTATTAGCCAAAAAAAAGGGGTTTGACCCGAGTAGGGGGTCAGGAAAAAAAAAACACACTTAACTCAATACTGATGTTTAGTACACATTAGATGTTTTCTAATTAGCATTAATTAGCTTTACTTACAGGCTACTAAGTATATTTTAATGTAATAATAATAAATTATTAATCAAATATGCTTGGTTAGTGAGCAAGAAGGGCAGGGCGGGCGGGGCGGTATGTCGTATGTGTGTAAATGGGGGGCAATCCCCTGGGCAGCTGAATCAGTGTCCGGCCAGCTGGGCAGTGGGCCAGGCGATCTTGGCATCGATCCGCTTGTAGGCCAGCATACAGTGCTTCCCCTTGGCCGCCAGTCGGGCATCCTGCGGACACTCAGCGTCCGTCAGCAGCGTCTCCTCGCCGTCCACCAGCTTGAAGAGGGCGTAGTCCTGCGGATTCGTGATGCGCGCCTTGTGGGCAATGATGCGGCACACCTCGCGGGTGGTCGTATGGGGTCGCACCGGCAGGGTCCGGGTCTGCAGGGATCCGTTGCACTCGTCGGGGATGATCACGCGCAGCACACTGGAGCAGGCGGGCAGGCAGCTGGAGCGCCACTGTAGGAAAAGAAATATGTGGTTAGTCACTGAAGCACTTTTGAGATTTTTAAGGTTGATCTGGGTTCCCCCTTCAAACACTTTGTCTACATATATAACTTATTGATCTGAATTACCAACTGTTTTCATAAGTGGATTCGATTTTTTGGTTATATTCTCATATTCCTTACATTTTTTTCATTTTAAATGCCTCCATTACTTGTTAAATCAAATTATGTTGTTATTCATATTAGTTTTGCTAATTGAGCACAGTATTACTTTCATGATAATATATACATGGTTTTTCATAAAAAAATCTAAATAATAACTTCTGTTTAATGCATTACTAAAAACTAAAAAAAATTATTATTTTGAAGAGTAATTTAAAACAAAAAAGTTTTGGCTGATTGATAAATATATCAATGAACATTTTATTTATAATGGATGCAACTCCTCTTTATTGTTTTTACTAAAATTAAAAATAAAAATATATTCCTTTTGATAAACAAATTTGATAGTTCTTATTTATTTTAAGTACACGAATAATGTTCATGAGTGAGTTGCTAAATATTTACGGCTGAATGATAAAATATCAATCTAACAAAATTCGAATATTAATGTATGCAACTCTTAATTCTTTTAAAACGAATAATAATATTGATTTGAAGAATGCTAGTAATACTCACTATTAAATTTATATATATTTAACAATGCAAAAAATCGGAATATTTATGAATGCAACTTTTTTGTTGTTTTACTAAAAATTAAAGTATAGAGCTCTTCATTATGAAATATTATATGAGTATTTAGTAAGATAAAGTAATTTCTAGTTTACTGTCTTAAGTCTCGTTTTAAGCGTCAAGTTGTTTAATATGTGGTCTATCCTAGTTTTTTAAAAACATGTTGATTAACTAAGGTGTTTAAGTGTATAATAGAGTGTTTGAAGGGAATACAGGCAACCCAGCTCATTGGCGACCGCTACTTACGTCCAGGGATCCGCTGCCGCTCTCTCCCTCGGAGGCCATGAAGGTCTTCAGCACCTGGACGGCGCTGCAGAGGGCGGTTAGGTAGTAGCCCGGCTCCCCATTGAGCAGTGTCGGCTGCAGGAGGCCCCACATGAACTCCGCCTCGATCTCGGCGCCAACGAATCCGCACTTGGCCACCACATAGACGAGCACGGGCAGGAAATCGTCGGCGCCCAGCTGCTGGCCACGCGGACAACCGGTGGCATCGAACACCGTCGAGATGACGCACAGGAAGAGCTCCAGCTTGTCCAGCGGCAACTCGGCCTCCTGGAGGCGCCACAGCAGGTTGGCAATTAGCCGCAGGGCGGCCTGTGAGGGCGGGGTAACCGTTGGCCTTATCCCAAAGTCGGCAGCCTCCCGTTCGCAGGCATAGCGTACATTCTGCGCCAGCAATTGGATATCCTCGCTGCGCTGATAGTGATCCACAAAGATGCCATACAGGTGCTCCCGCAGCGGCAGCACCACCAGCTGGTGCATCACAGTCTCCAGCATGGCGTCCAGATTGAGAAACTCATCGGACTTCAAGCGCGCCCTGGCCGTTTCCAGTTCGGCATGGAACTTGCCCTCGCCATGCTTCACCAGATAGTTCTTCATGCCGCTCATAAACTGGCGCATGTTGCGCATCACCACCTGTGGTGCCGCCTCCCGGGACTCCTTGGTGCAACAGATGAAGTTCTCAATGTTGCGGGCAAACGTGGAGCTGGGATCCTGGGCCAGTTGGAGGGTGTAGGCCCGCAGAGAGTCGCCGGGGCCGCTGCTTTGGATGCTCATCTTGTTGCGGGGGTGACCTGGAAGAAATCAGAAAGAGGATTTCGTTAGATTTTTCTTACAAATTATTATAATATTATATATATACATTATTATTAAATGCAGATAATTGGGGCTACTTTCGGAAAAATCTTGTTTCCTAGCACAAACTGATATAAATGTAAGATTTTGTGGTAAAAACTTGAATGTTCTAGCTCTACTATTTAGAGTTCAGAGTTGATTTCTCAAAATTGTTACAACAATTTTATATGTATAGAAGATAGATATTATTTTTATAAGTTATGTAGACCATCACTATCAATCCCTATCCTTTCTAGGACCCATACACTCTCTCTCCTTACCAGCTATTAATTCACACAGCAGTCGGAGCAAACGCCGTAGGACGCGACAGCAGCCCCGATTCCGGCAGTAATCCTCGTCGGCACACTCACAGCCACGTCGATAGCGACGATAGAGACGGCGACTCTGGGATTGGAGGCACAGGCCCAGCGCCTGGCATTCGACAATGTGCGCCATGCTCAGCAGGATGTTGCCCTGTTCGTCCAGGTGAAAGAACTGTTTGATGTCGTAGTGGTCACAGGTGTTCAGCTCACCAGGATGGCACTGGTCCGGCTCGTTGCTGGCCGAATCCTCCCCGGCCGGGCACTTGCCAATGGCACCCATTATGGAGCCGGCCAAGGCCTCAGTCTTCAGTTGCTTCCGATCGATGCGGCAGTCTTTGAGCACCTGTTGTGGACAGGTTGGTTGGTTGGTTGATGATGGGTTGATCATGCTGCTGGTCGAACTGGAGGACTTCCTGGACTTTTTGCACAGCACCGCCGATGTCGGCGAGGAGCAAGTCCGCTGAGGATGCTCATCATTCTCATTTTGTGGCAGGGCAATGCCGGTCTGTATGTTGTCCACGAAGAGGAGTTCCAGGAACTTACGTTTCCGCTTGGGCTTTGTTTTGGCTTCAGTCTCTGGTTCCGTCTCCTTATCCCCAATTTTGGGTGAGCTCATATCCTCCAGCGAACTCCTGGGCAGCTGTGTCCTTTGCTGCAGCAACTCCTCTTCAAAGTCCGCGGAGAAGTAATTGGTCTGCGGCGGATGCTCGATAATCTCCCATTCGGACATGATGCTCAGAAACTGGGCCTCCTCCTTGTAGTGCCGCACATGGTCGGGATCGTGGAAGAACTCCTCCGGCTCCTGGCGTTCAATGCACCGCTCGTCCAGCCAGCTGAGGGATTTGGACATGTCCCGCTGACCAGGATGATCCCGGTGATCTCCTCCGGTCGTGGGTGACTGCGGGCGGCTCACGGACTGTGCACGCGACGATCTTCTGAACCAACTCATGGTATATCCGGTAGCGATTCTTGCCAGCTAAAACGAATTGGCGGAAACGCAGGTTTCTCATCGGCACACGCTGCGGCTGATTGATAAGCGATGGCGGTCGCGTCCAACTCTCACTCTCCACCGATCGATCGTGGTTTTCTCTATATTTTTTTTTTTTATAATTTTTCTTTTCTCGCAGGGGATGCTGCTCTAAACGCGGCCAATGCAAAACTAATTCTGAACTTCATACGCATTAGTTTATAAGACGACGACGACGATCTCGCTGCCGACGTCGCAGTCCGCGAAAAACAAAGATAGCGTCGGCGGCGCCGCTAAATGTGTCAACTCGCCAAGTGGCGGCCTCATTCGAGTGACCTTTTCCAGCCCAAAAAGCAGGCCATCTTGGTGCACAGGTAGTCGCGGATCCTTGCGGATTTATATACCTATTATATAGGTCCTCTGGAATTTCCGGCCATTCAGGTACAGTTGCGCAAGCCAATGACTCAATCGCAGGTTTGGATTGGTTTGGTTTGCAGTCAGTGGGTACTCCAATAGCAGGGATTGATTGGGCCCAACCCACTCTACCTGTACAATCGCCAGTAAAGTTATCACCATTCTGAGCTGATTCATAGGAGGGCCTTTGTGAAAAAGTCGGAAACCCCATTGCAAAACAAAACCCAGATGTTCGTATGTACAATGTATGTACTTGTACCATGAAAATCATTTTTAGAACCCCCTCATATTACTCAAGTTAATAATAAGGCTTGTAAACCCTGTGGTTTCGGTACATTACAGTAATGTAATAATCAGTGCTATGATATTTATGTGTAACTTTTTGTTATCATGCTGAGTAATAGTTGTGTCTTGGGAAAAGACATTTTGTATAGTTTATATTTCATTTCTAGGTTTAGTATTTATTGTTCATTCCTTCATAGTTGCTTCATTTAATGGTTCATTTTGGTTCATTTAGTGTTCATCTTAGTATTCATTTGTTCATTCATTCACCGCTGCCTCATTCTTCGTCCTTGGGGGGATGTGTTTGGAGTGCTCTTCTTTTCTAATCCTCTATCTCTTAACGGTCTTATCAACAGACACGCTGGCTAGCTCGAAACTGGAACCGCGACTCCGTCCGGGTTCTCGTGCAATGGATCGCCCGGATTGCATCAGCATTAGCCTGCGACTTGGTTCTGATGCGCAATTCGGAAAAACCTCCGGGCGGTAAATGGAGGTTACCAGGTTAGGGTTGAGGCCTTTTCGCCGATCGATCTTCCTCGTTTAAAGTTCAGATTTGAGGGTTAACCTTGGCATAGGGATCACTGAACCCCATGCACCTGGTTTTTTTTCTCGAGGGTTTTTGTGTTGGCCTAAAGATTTGGCTTATCAATCCCACTAGTCAACACCCCCATTAACTTTTACAATTCCCGCAGGCAAACAATTCAGTTGGCAAGGCGGCAAAAAATGAGCACGTGTGAATTGGGCTGGACCAAATTCAAATTCGAGTTCGAAAACGATCCGTATCTCCTCCTGCTGGAATGCGTTTTAAAACGCATCGAGTGCATTTTTAAAATAGCAACGCATTTGTTTGGCTTTCATCAGATGGCCTTTGTTGTCTGGCTAATCATTGGTGTTTGTCTTTGCTTACACTGACCCAAAAATAGACTGTCTAGGCCGAGAGATTCCTACTCTTTAACTGCATTCCCATCTGCAAACATCTACTATGGTGTTTGTGCTGTGTTTGCTCATGTATAAATTACGCATCCCATTCAGACTCTCTAACTCCGCGCGGTGAAATTTGCGCTTGCTGATAAAAACGCTGCCGGCGTCGCTACGTCGGTTTACATTCCAAAGTCTGTCTCCCTAACACTCACCAACACCCACCCACGACTAAAGAATGTATGTATACTCAGTTCTATACCCTTGCCGATCAAGAAGGCATTCTCAATATAGGCATAAAGGTAGTTTTTAGAAGTCATACAGTACCTATTTTTTCTGCGCGGTCAGTGCTCTGCGAATACGGATTGAAATAAAAATCTAAAATTAAAAAAACCGAAATTCGGAAACATTTAGAAGGTTCAAACCAAGAAAGGATTTTACAATACTCTTTTTTAAAATATTGAAAATGAGAGTTGAGTTGGTTTTATTATTTCTTTCTTTAATTCAAGAATTTGTTTATATTTCTCTCTCTACTCTCACTCTCGGCTGCCTTGTAAGTATATCTAAATTGTATTTAGTTGTCAACTGCGACGCAGAAATCAGGGGGCAGCGGATAATGGAGTGGGCGGGTCTACGCAGGGCGGGATTAGCTGGGATTGGAATTGGGTTCGACTGGAAGGCGTTGTGCAGCAGATAAGTTTCGGCAAGGCTTTGTAGTCTTCAGTCGACGGCAGCAGCGAAGCAGCGGCAAAAAGCGCAGTCAAGTTTTTTTTTCTTGTTTCAGATAGGCCGATGTCGCTGCAATCCAGTTAAAACCGCCACAGACGACAGACATAAGTCATTCACAACACAATGCTGCACAGTAAAATGCGGCCAAACTCGAAATACAAGAAATGATAAAATAGAGATCGTATTCAAACACCTTTCTCAAATTTAGTGGCTTTAAATAACATTCTTTTCCTACAGAAATCATATTTCTAACACTAATAACTCTAGAATCTTTATAACCTTTCCTTTATAACTTCCTTTGTAAAAGATTTCTTAACATTTTTGACTAACTAGACTTTTTTTTCAGGTTAATAAAAAGCAAATAAAAAAGCTTTCAATTGGAATTAGCTCTTTATCGCCATAGTTATTTTTGCGGTTCGTGCGTTTATTGTTTATAATAAGACGTAGCTGCGTATGAGTAATACTTGTGACCCCCTTTTCCTTTAAGGTTTCAAAATAATCTGATTTTTAAATTACGATTTCCTTAGAAAAACAAATCGAAAGGAATTTTAGTTTTTACGTAATGACAAAGTCAGTTTGTTAATGGCATTAAGTGAGTTCCACACTGCTTGATTCATTTGCTTCGCTTTCTGCTGTCCAAGTTTCGTGGACTCAATCAATCCGTCAATCGATGACGATGTGCTGCTGATAACTGATAGCCAGTCATGGTGACCATGGGGCATACGAACGCAAATGATGCAACAATAACAGATTGCAATTGAGCGTGATCCCCATCATCATTACTCCACTTCCCAACCACACGAGACGACTTCTGAAGGCGAAGTGCTGTCAGGTGCTTGGGGACATATGACACGGTTTCAATGTTCTATAAAGCGAATTAATAGTGAAATATGTCCGATTTCTAAACGATAAGGGATTACAAACTTTAGTTTTTTATCAAACATAAGAGACAAATCAAGTCATTGATATGATATTTACTTACTAGAGATATTTCACCTGAATTGATACCTAAATAAGTTAGAATTCTCAAACATAAACTTTAGTTTTTTTTTAACGTACTATACAAATGGAATCCTTCGTATGATATTTAACAATTGGAAATAGTTCACTGCTATATTAATATCCAAGGAAGTCCGATTTTTACTTGTTAGAGATATTTCACCTGAATTGATACCTAAATAATCGAATCTTTTATATGATATTTACCAATTATAAATAGTTCACTACTATATTAGTATCCAAAAAAAAGTTCGATTTTTTAACGATATGGGATTACAAACCTTAGTTTTTATCAAACATGCTATACAAAGACTATACTATACAAGTCCTTGATGTGATAGCTACCAATTATAAATATTTCACCTTGTGTAATACCAAAAAATGCATAACTCTGAACTTTGGGTATCAGTTTTTAGTTTTTATGAAACATACTATGCTAATCAAATCCATGTTATGATACCTATCAATTCTATATATTTCACCCCTTACTACCGAACTTCGCTTAAAAAATCAACATACTACTTACATAAGACTTCACGATCCCGCATGCTGGGGTTCCGCAGAATTGTGGCCACTTTGGGTCGACCGTTGGTCTTGCCATTCCCAGTATTGTTGAGTTTCTGGTGTCCAGCACCATTCCTATTGGCCTTCAGTGTGTCCTGGTTGCAGCTGCCATTGCTGCCGTCTTTGGTGCTTTGTAGTTCCTCGATGATCGTGTCGTCCTCCGAAAGAGCGGGTCGGCACTTGGACAGATGAATGGTGTCCGAATTGATGGTGGCATCTAAATGGGAAATACATTTTATTAGATAACAAAGCTTTTATCCTAAGGATTCTAAGCAGTCCCTACCATCGTGGGGCAGGAAGGAGTCCCACTGGGACGAGTCCCAGGGCTCCGAGAAGATGGTGCCATCGTCGGACTGGGCCGAATCGATGCCACCGAACGAGTTCTGGCAGAAGACATTGTCGTAGGAGGAGAGCCGGCATCCGAGTCCAACTTTATCCTGTCCCTGGACATGCGGCTGCAGTGCAGCCGTTTGCGGCGGCGTGGAGCACCGCACCAGCTCCGGCAGATTAAGGTCGGGCAATCGATTGGCGATGATCTGGTGGATGGTCAGCGTTCGCTTCTTGCCTAGCGAGTTCTCCTTCTCCTGCCAATCGATGGCCGCCGTATCGTAATCCCCCCCAGCATGGCTTCCCTGATCCTGCTTGGCCATAAACTCCCAGCTGCTGTCTAGTTGCCAGTGATCGATGAGATTGCGAGCCCGCTTGGTGGGCTGTTGCTGTTGCGAATGCTGATGCTGTAGCTGTTGCTGCTGCTGCTGGGAAACCTTTGGCTTGGGCTTCAGCTCGTCCAGGCTGCCGGCCATCTTCTCCAGCTCGCTAGGCTGCAGCAGGGCCCCATTGCCGGATCCTCCGAAGCCCGCTTTTAGTGGTTCCGAGTGTCTTTGGCTGGCGTGCAGCACTTGGCTGCGATGCTGACGTCGCAGAATGGCGGTGGCTGCACTGGTCAGGCCTGCCTGACGCAGTGCATCCGCCGGTTCCGCGTAAAAGGGACTACCCTGCTTGCTGCGACTGCCGGCGAGAGTTTGTCCCTCGGCCGTGGGTGTGGTGTCGCCACCGTCGTCCTCGCCACCCGCCGTCATGGACTGAGTCATGGCGGACGGTGGAGCCTGTCCCGAGAGATTCGGCAGGAGCAGTCCTGCTCGAGAGCGAGCTGGAACATCACCGGAGAACTGCAGCAGGGATTGGCTCGAGGTTTCGTTGGGCGTGGCAGTGGCAGTGGTTTCCTCCTCGCAGGGCGACAAGTGCGTCTGCTGTGTGGGTGTGGGAGTGCTCGCTGGGGAGGAAACAGGAAAAAGGAGATAGTTAGAAGGATGTTAGCATAAAAGGGCTCTACGAAAATCTCTAGAGGTTTGGTAAAGATTTGTTTACGTCCAGTAAATTTTAAGTAATTTTTAAGTTATGGGGGTGCCAAACAAATACCTAGGTTTTCGGTGTCTAAAAGTAAGCAGTGAATAAAGGATAGTTATCTTTCTGTACCTTTGAGTTTAAAATAAACTGTTGCATACTTTTACACACCTAAGATTACTTTTAAAATATATTTTCAAAAGCCTGAGATTTTTGTGGCACCTCCGTAAGAAATTTATAGATGTTGTTAAAGAACATTTTTGTTTTGGTGAATGAAATATAGAGAAACTTACGAGTCTCGGCCAGCAGATCCGGTCGTCGGTTCATCACCCCGCCCACCGAATCCAGTGCCGGGCGGAAACTGGTCAGCAGGCTGGCCCGATCGCTGGGATCGTGCGACCAGACGTCCTCGTAGTCGCTGATCTTGTCGCTCAGCGCACTGGCGCAGTACTGCAGCGGTGGGCTCTCGAGGATGTCCGACTCCTTGTAGTGCTGCGACTCCTTGCCAGCTCGGGACTTCCGGGATTTGCCGCCACTGCTGCTGCTGCCGCCGCCGCCGCCGCTGGGCGTTAGTGGTGTCAGGGGTGAGGTGGTGAGGAGCTTCCGGGCAGTCGGTGGCCAGCGGCCATCATTTGAGGAGGATCCCTGCGAGGACAGCGTATCCTTGCACTCGCCCTCCGGCGACAAGCGCTTGGCAAAGGTCTGGAAAGTGCTGGCCTGGCCATTGAGCAGGGCATTGAAGGGATTGCTGGACGCCGGCGTGGTGACCTCCACGAATTTTCCATTACCATTTCCCGCTGCCGCTCCACTCGCACCACCATTCTCCATCGAAAAGGTAACCGTGGTGGTCACCGTAAAATTTCCATTGGCACCTCCATTCTGATCCGGAGAATGGGGCTTCGACCAGCGCAATGGTGGTGCCGGTGGCTTGAGATTCAATGTATTCGGCGGCTTTGGTCGCTGCGGACGCACTTGATCCGCCACCTCCGGTACCGTTTGGGCCACCTTAAAGGTGCTTAACTGTTGCTGGTCAACCAGTGATGGGCACAGGGGCATGGGTGCCAAAGGAGCCCCCGCTGAGCCGGGCATATAATGCCCTGGATTGTCCACTGGTGACATGGTCAGAATCACCGAATCCACTGAATTTGGACTCAGAAGCTGCAGGTGCTGACCTCCGCTGGTGGTGAAGGAGCTGAGACTCGAGTTGGTGGTGTCCGACGGAGTTCCCGCCTGGCTGAAGAAGCCGAGCAATTGGCCACTGCCGGTGGGACTGAAGAGACTGCTGCCCGGAATGGGTGGTGCTCCAGTCGGCGGTGGCTTGGCCAGAGCATCGCTGAAAAAGGTGGCCGTTCCAAGGCCACTGGTTTCGGTCAGCGAGAGCGGCGATTTGGCATCCAGCAGGTGCTGATCCCTCGATGGGGCCACCGTTGGTGTGGGCGGACCCAAGAGGGCCGGACTGCTGGCATAGCTCCAGAACTCCTGGCCCAGCAAGGCCAAGGAGCTCAGCTTCTTCCGGTTGTTGGCCTCCCGCAAAACTCGTGGCAACATCAGCTGCACCGGCAACTCATCGCAACACTGGGCATAGTGGGCAATCAGCGAGGGTATCGAGCCGAACGTAAACCTCGAGCTCTCCAAACTCAAAACATTATCGTGCGACTGGATGAGATAATGCTCGATATAGGGTCCCGTATCCTGGGGCAGTCTCACCGAAACAGCCATCGTATTCGGCTGGCTGGAACCACGAACTATGAAGGTCTGAAAATGAGAACAGAAAATAAAGAAAGAATAAGTTGATAGTAGAAGTTTTGAATTTTTTTTATTTATAACCTGGTTTTGAGAGATTGAAAAAAAAAAAGGTGTAATATAATAATATAGTTAACCGAGGATGCCACCAAAATCACTACAACCTTGAAATTACTTTTAAATTTTGTTTTAGGTGTCTAAAAGTATGCTAAAAAATATATTAAACTCAACGGTACAATTCACTGCATACTTTTAGACACCTAGAATGATATTTTAAGATGATTTGAAAACCCTAGTGATTTACATGGCATTTTCTATTTGCATTTATGGATAACATTATGTTTAAGTCCAAAATTTGGTTACCCATAATTTAAAAGCAAATACATCAAGCTCAAGATTTAACTACAATCCCATGATATATATATCATAAAAACATTCCGTTTTATCTTTCCACATCTTGGAGGTGGTTCAAAAAGTCCTTAAGTGAGTCTTTTTCCTCTGACTGCGCGTTAAATGTTGCGTTCACAATTCGCCCATGAATTCCCACTTATGGATGATAAATCGTCCCTACTCCCTGGTTCTTCCTTCCATTCTTGCAACAATGCCCTTCCTTTGGCACTTTTTTCTTTAGCTCCTGCCTTTTCACTTCTTGTTGTCGGCAAAAACTTTGCAGACGCTGCGACAAATCGCGTTCTTGGCTTATAGATGGGCAATGGGTGGTAGGTAGTGCCTCTTCAGCCGCCAAACCTGGTCAAGTGTGGCCAAGACCAGAGCCAAAACTTCGGTTTGCTAATCGCCTGTGAAAACTTTCATAATGAGCGTCTCACTTAAAGTCATGCACAGGCTTTTGATAAGATCGAAATCATCATCAAGTTTATAATACTTTGATTAAATAAAAGAGTTATCCTAATATTATTTGAAATATAGACTAATTTGTATTTTGTTTATTGGGAAAGTCAACTTTAACATAATTTTTAGGTTTGCTTAAATAAATATTGGATATATATATTATATTATATAAAACATTTAAGTGTAAGCAAAAGCCAACAGCAATATCTCCATGCTCCGATTTAATATTGCCACCGTTTTATAATTCCTTTAAACGCAATTTCATTATAATTCCCATTCATAATCTTTGTCCAATCAATTCTGTAAAGTTGGTAAACCCCACAACCCCACCTGGCCACCAGTCATTCAAGGGGAATTAAAAAGCGACAACGGTTTCGAGGGGTAAAGTTCTTAAGTGTTTTGCCTCAGTCTCCCAGATTCACTTTCTGCGATTCTCAGATTCTCAGATTCCCCGTCTGTCTTCTCGCTGGCATTGTTGTATTTGCTTTTCAATTTTCAATTTCATCGCAGCAACCCTAAAAGCATGCAATTATATATGTATATGTATACACACACCCACGCTTACTAGACTATACGTACATATATAGATATATAATTTTTCTTCTTCAGATTTCAATAAATGCCAACTGGAAGGGAGATTTTGTGCACCCTGTGGCGTTGTTTATGATTTCTGTGCGAGTTGCGCACAATTTTTCAATAAGCAGTTGAAAGAAGATGATAAAAACCCATGAATCGGGTGGTTTTTTTATAAGCACCCTCCATTCGTTTTTAAAGCATACTTTTCAGCTACTACATCTGCTTTTGATTCCATTACCAAAAAAAAAAGAAGAAAAGGTAGAGGGCCAAGGGTCAAACATTTTATACTGATTTAATAAGGCGGTCATCACAAGGGGGCGTGGCCATCGTGCTTGACCATCAAGGAAATGCAATTTATAGGAAACACAGACGGGCTGCAAAAAAGCCAGTTGGCCAGACAAAAACGAGCGTTAAAGTTCCTTAACAGGCTGAAAGCCAACCAAAATTGGACAAAAGGAAAACTTAATAAAAATCCGAGATGGAGAAAGCAAAGGACAGCCAATGCAAGGAAAGTCAGGAGATAATGCACAAAGGTTGCCAAGGAGGCTGGCTGTAAAAGATGGAGAAAGTACCCATACAATGTGAGCACAGTGCGTTTCAGAAGATTAAAAAAATGCGAAAAACGTATATTTTGACAATATCAAACAACCAAAAATATATACTTTTTAAATCAACATAAAAAATTAACAAAAAAAAATTAAAAAATTTGTAGATTCCTCAAAATAAAACTATTTTTTGGACTTGTCAAAGAGTTAAAAACTTTAATATTATAATAATACCATTATTAAAGAATATTCTGGGTATTTTAGAACTGAAACCCTTCTTGAATACAACTAAAAATTGCAGTTTAACCATTTTTTAGGTAATACCCTTGTTTGCAAACATCATGTAATATTTTACTTCAGACTTATAGTTTCCTACCGCACTGTACCAGCATGTGTGTGCCTCAGTGCCTGCATTTTATTGGCTCGAATTGACAAATTTCATTTGGTTGGCGAACAATAAAAAGGCGTAACGGCATTTGCAATTGACGACAGATCAGTTATATATGGGTATGTCCCATGTTAAATGGTATATTGTATATGTATATATGTATATCTGCTGTTTTATTAACATATATTATATATGGTGGATTTTTAAAGAAATGCATTAGATTAAGAAACAGGCCAGACAGGTGGATGTGCTGCCAAGTATGTGGGTGTGTATATACTACATGCTCGCTCAACTGCGTTTGTTCACCTGTCACAATGGCTCTTCGTCAGCCATTTCCATTTCCTGCTGCACTTCCATACCCATTCACATTCTCAAAAAGCTGGCCATGGCTTTTTGCAGGCTTTTAGCCATCGTCTGGCGAAACAAGGAAGGCCTAGAAATGCACACTCCAGTTCATTGACTCAAAAAACGAGAGAAAAGTATGCCAGAAATGTGGATGGCTTGGGAAATACTAACAAATATAAATGTTTTCTTTTTTAAAAATATGAAAAAAAATGTATCTATAAGAAAAAACATTTTTTTTTAACATATAAGTTACCATTGCTATTAGTAAGATACAAATTCTCTTAAAGGTGGGTTTTTTGTTGAAGTGTAATGGCATGAAGGGTAAGGAAAGGCAGTGCCTTTTGGTCTGGACACGGTAGATAAATACACCATGAGGGACCAGGTCCATGTCCATGTCCATGTCCACCTTTTCCCCAAATGCATTTCACTTGCACTTTTCCACTCGCCAACAGACTGATGGATGCGGTTTGTTTTTCGATTTGTTCTGCTAGCCAACCGCAAAAGACAGTTAACGGTTTAATTTCCGTGTTTGTTGGCCATTGCATTTTCAATTACACAGGAATATATCTGTGGATTCCTGTGGTTGGGCCAGAAAATGTCGTAAATTTAAACGTTTTTATTGACCATTAAACTCTGGGAAGGGGTATAGGTCGGATATTAACTACGTGTTTAAGTGAGAGAACTCTCTATATCAAACATATAACTATAAACTTGATTTAAGCTAAGGGATTCAGTAATTCATTCCTTTATTTTACTATTTAAATAAACCTAGTACAAATTATATATATAATCCGACTGTTTAGATCACATTTACTTGACTTTAAAGTCATTCCGGGAAGGAGGTTTAGTCCGGATAATAATTTTTTACAAGGGAGAGAAGTCGCTATATTCTTTATATAACAATCTGAAGTCTCAAGTCAATCTAAGTGACACAGGAAATAATTATAATATTTAGCTTAAGTTTGTAAAATAAGCAGTTAACTTAAAATAAATTCCTATAAATAAGAAATGTTTAAGTGATTTTCTTGATAGAAAATCCATAGATCCACCTTAAACGGTTTCACTTTCTGTTTGCCATGGCTATCCTCTGTAAAACACCTCCTGCCAACTGTTTACCATTCCCCCCGGTAATCATTTATCTCTTTGCATTTATTTTGCATTTAATTGCATGTAAATTATTGTGCATTGGGCAGCACATGGCACCGAATGTTCGCACCTCCTCCCGCACCTCCCCCCATTTTTCACTCAACTTTGACCTCCACCCCGGAACAATCTTTTAACCCCATTCCATTCGAACGTTTCGCTCGATTCCCTGCGGCGTTGCAAATCAGACACACACAACACACACACACTCGAAAATAACGATTCGTCGCATTTGCACCCATTTCCGGGATGCGATGCCCATTGGTGCCCCATCTCCGCCGGAGAAGGTAACAACATTTCCGGTTTCCATTTCTCGCCGCGTGCCTTCGGGGCTGCATTTCTCGAAATGTCCGCAGTGTCCCGGCCTTCGCCTCCTCCTCCACTTTCGCCACCTCCTCCTCCTCCGATCTCGGCTCAATCACCATCTTCATCCTTGGCCAAGTCACCCCTTTTTTGGGCCCCAAACACAATGCGCAACGTGTCGCAGCTGCTGACTGTCTGCCACCGAACCCCCACATGAAAATCCCCCCCCCCTTCCTGACGCTTTCGCCCCGTCTGTTTGTGGTTTTGGCCATCGAATCGAAAGTGCAGCCGTTGCCAAGTGCCAAAACACGGCAAAAATAACATTTACTATCAGTAAAACAATAAATAATCATTTCAGTTACTACAAAATATAGTACTTTATACCTTAAATGTTAGTTAAAGATATCTAAAAAATTGTTTATTTATTGTTTTGTGTTAAATATGTAAAATAGATACAGGAAAAAACAATGCCAATGTAAGAAAATTAAAAAAAACCATAGCATAATATTTCCTAACTCAAATGATAGTTAAATTTGCCATGGATTATTGGTTATTTAATATTAAAATATTAATCCAAACACAAAGTACGAAAGTCTCCGAAATTTGGTTTAGTATCCGTAAAAGGATATATTGTAATTTGTGTTATTTAAGAAAAGTGTCCTTGCTTTCAAAAATCAGACAAGAAAAGTTTTAAAAATAAGATATTTCTACACTGTTCTTTAAACATCATAGAAAATTCAAAAAAAATTAGTATCAGTAAAAGGATAACTTATAATTTGTGTTATTGAAGAAAAATATCTTTGCTTTCAAAAATCAGACAAGAAAAGTTTTAAAAAATAAGATGTTTCCTCATTGTTCTTTAA